CTCTCTCTCTCTCTCTCTCTCTCTCTCTCTCTCTCTCTCTCTCTCTCTCTCTCTCTCTCTCTCCCTGTCTGTCTCCCTGTCTGTCTCTCTCTCGTTCTCTCTCTGTGTCTGCAGCCATTCCTATTATCCGGCACACACATTAGAACACGCAGTTTCTGTGTGTTCTAAACTCTTCCTCTCTTTGTCTTTGTGTTCATCTGATTGTCTTTGCTGTTTCACTGAAAGTGCATTGACACTTCTGTGTGCGCGCGCACGCGCGCGCGTGTGTGTGTGCGCGTGTGTGTGTGTGTGTGTGACATATGTGCTCTTTGCGATTATTAACACAGGTTATCGAGTTGCCAATCAAGCACCCGGAATTGTTTGAGAGTCTCGGGATTGCACAGCCAAAGGTAATTGCAACAAGCAAACAAATTGGCCTTCGGTAGCTCTTTGAAGGGTTTTTTTGGCCTTAGGTATCTCTTTGAAGTTTTCGCCTACCGTGTGAGTTTGGTGTGGACTAGGGTTTGCAAGTGTGGCCTGGGACTCTGGCTGCAGTCATCACCAAAATAGGGCGCCCCCGGTGACTACCACCATATCGAGACAGGCGTTTGGCGCAAATGCAGCTCTAATAACCGGGTGTTCTGTTCTATTCTGGTGAAGGCGGTAACAAAAGTCTTCCAAAAAAAGATGTTCGGATGAAAAAAGATGAAAAGAGAAAAAACAAAATTCCAATTGTCATTGTGATGAGAGCTTGGGCTGATAGCTATCCTTATCCTCCTGGCTATGACTATGATCAGCTCTAATAACCCAGAAATGGATATCAAATCCTCCTTCAAATTCCAATGGTAAAGTAACTTTAGCAGTACAGGCTATCTGACTGTCAATCCTCGTGATAGGAGAAATCAATGCTGTTCAGGGGTCTCTCTCTCTCTCTCTCTCTCTCTCTCTCTCTCTCTCTCTCTCTCTCTCTCTCTCTCTCTCTCTCTCCTTTGGGGACATTCGGCATAGATGGAAGTAAGTGTATGGTGTATGCACAACAGGGGCACAGTGCCACTAGCAAAGAGGATTGAATTGAGCCCCTGAATCTGGGCGTGTTTTATGAGGATATGCGGAAAAGCAGGTCAATTGCTATTTTCCGCATCTCTCCACAAATGCGTCCAGATCCAGGCGTTAAATCCGGTTCTCATTGCTAGTGGGACCTCGCCCCAGGTGTTGTATTTTATCTGCTTGCCAGTGGATTGTAACTGGAGAGACACGCCTCAGAATGGGCAAGGAGCCAGGACCATGAGGCCTGAGAAAAAAAGAAGGAAAAAAAGAAATGGAGATCAAATCGTGATGGAGATAGCAGAGAGGGTGGATGGTGTGTGACAGACAACAGAAGCGGATAGTTCTTAGAGCTTTGGTCTCTTTGGTCATATAGCTCTATGATCTGCCTCTCGTCGCGTCAAATCGCCAGTGCACACCCCCAGCCTGACTGAAAACGAAGTTTTTTCCCGTCCGAAAATTTTGTGCCCTGGCCCTATCGGACCATAATGGCTGGCGCCGGGACCATAATGGCTGGCGCCGCCAGCCAAAAAAAAGGAAAAAAAATGCGCCGCTGGCGGTTCGGCAAAGCTTGGCATACACTGGACTGTTTCCAAGAAGCCCCAGCGTACTGGTGGGGTTTAAAGCCACCGGTTAGCTTTTTGGCGTTGACAGTGGGTGTTAATGCACTGCGGCCTTCAGGGCTTGGCCTACTGGACCGATATGGCTGATCGTGCCAGGCCAAAAAAAAAAAAAAAAAAAAAGACTGCCGGCGCAACTTTGTCTTTTGTTTGAGGCTTTGAGCATAGGGGAAAAGATACTCTCAGAGGAGGTATTTGGAGGTTCGAGGGATGGGAGGAAAGGGGGATGTGGCTCGTTTCTCACACCTTAGGGAATTTTCTTTTCTTTCCTTTTTTAATAAAAAAAGGTGAAAGCATAATGCGGCTCGTGTGAGGAGGAATGAGCCCTCGCGGGGCCCTTATCAGACATACAATTGTTCTGGGCTGTGGCCCCCAGCAAGCCTCGTGCCAGCCCTAAGTGAAGTCGGGCCTGAATATCCACGTGAGGCCTCTTATCGACATTTTTCCATATTTGGGGTATCAGACAGTTGCAGCATCCCAGTTGGTTACAAAGCAACGTGATCCTTTCCTGGCTCTATCCGGAAGCAACAGCTGAGCTGCACAGTTGAGCCCAGGGCCCCAGTTGGTTGTGCCCTGGGCACACACATTGGGAGGCCGACACATCACGCAGTGGCCGCGAATGAATGAGAAAGCAGCATTGTCGTCACACAACCTAGACGAGCCAATGAGAATGCGGCAAACACTTGAAGCCTGGACGGCTGCCTGGATGGCTGCCTGGACATGCCCAACTGTAAGGGCCCCAGGCCCGTAACAGCAGAAGTGGACCTGGGCGCAGACACTGGGGCCCGACTGGAAGCTACTGGAAACTTCCCCAGCCAGGCCCATGCAGGCAGACACAGCCCCACTTTCCATAAAAAAGAAAGTGGGCTGCCAAGGCAGCGGCATTCAGGCCTGAGCAGGCAATGCGGCCACGCTGCTGCAGTGTCTTGCTATGCTGCGCTAAGCAGCCAGGCCCGGACGAGCATGCGGGTGCTAATAGGTGAGAGGGGGCGCTGCGGTGGCAGCGGGCGCACGGCGACTATAGCCGAGCCGAGCGTGCGGGTAGCAGGTGATGGCGATGGTGGTCTTCGGGTAGGAGGCACATGCAGAGGGGAGTCTAGTTGGGATGAGGGGAGGAGAGAGAATGTACCTGGTGTATGCTGGCGGTCAGCATTGGTGATGACGTCACGTACATTGGTCTTCAACTTCGATGTGATACAGTCGCATGAACGTGGATAGGATAGATAGGCTGAGTAGTGTAGGCTGGGCGCTGTGCGCCAGACAGTAGGAGCGACATTAGATACAGTGTTGGTGTGACCAGAGAGCGTCGGCATTGGCACTCGAGTTCATTGTATTGCTCTTATTTGGATGGTATCTTGGTGCATTTTTGTGCTGTCTGCTTGGTACATGACTATCTGGACTACTACGTGATTTTGCAAACTTGGACTTATGTCTATTGCTCTCGCTCATATTCCTTGCACTCATTTCTCACACCTTAGGGAATTTTCTTTCCTTTTCAAGCAAAAGGCGAAAGCATAGTGCGCCATCTGAGCTGGGCACACAGCTGAAGGTGTGGAAAAAAAGCAATCCCCTTTATGGAAAGTACCCTTCAGTTGTAGAGCCGCCGGTCTGCGCTCTCTCTCTCTGCAACTTCAATGTCGACTCTTCGACTGCGCACAATCTTGAGCTGCCGAGTCTTCAACTGCGCTCTGCGGTGCCTTACTTTGTTTGCTGGCTCTTTGGATGTTGAAGAGCCATTGGTCGGTTTGCACTCGTGTTTCTTTTTTATCCGTTTGTGCTTGCGTGGATGGATCTGACTGCCGTGTGTTATGTATGTTGGGGAATGCCGCCGATGCGTTGCTTGCAGGGTGTGCTGCTGTATGGTCCGCCTGGAACAGGCAAGACTCTGCTTGCGAGGGCTGTTGCTCATCACACCGACTGCACTTTCATCCGAGTGTCGGGCTCGGAGCTTGTCCAGAAATACATCGGCGAGGGATCTCGTATGGTGCGCGAGCTCTTCGTAATGGCAAGGTGAGGTGGGTGATGATGCAGCACATGAGCTGAACTAAATTATGATGATCTATCGAATCATTCAAATGGCATCTCTGCAATCCACTTAGAAAAAAGGAGCGAAAAAGGAGCAAAAAAAAAAAAGTGCGCCCCTCTTCCCATTGCTTTCGAGGCAAGGGGAGGCTCAAAATTTCCGCGAGTAGTATTTTTCGGGTCTCCCTTGTAATTGCCCCCCCTCTTCCTTATAGGCAGGCCGCCGTTGCATCTTTGCATGCATCTCTGTTGCATTATTCTGTAGGTAGGGTAATTGGGTGACGCATATGAACATTGAATGTTGTGTTGAGTAAAAAGCGATTTGCAATTGGTCCTTCGGGATGAACAAGGCCGTTAAAATTGGAACGATACAGCGAAGACCGATTAGCATAATGACCCCTGCTCAAGGATGACACGCATAAATCGAGTAATGGTCCACCTTATTACTGGAAAAAAAAAGACGGTTTGGAAATTCTCTGCACATCTACCCGACCCGCCCATGTGCCAGCAGGATCCCAAGGACGAGACTGGCTACTTCACGAGCTCAGCACCCCAGTCGAACGGTTGGAATTGTACCAGCCCGTCCGGGTGTATGCACGTCCCTCCAAATTTTCGATGGATTCAAGCAAACATTTGGCAGGCGATGGGAGACAAAAACCGGAGAGGAAAATAGAGGGAAGAGGAGGGAGAATTACAAGGGAGACCCAAAAATCAGTGACCAGATTGAGCCCCTAGGGGGGGGGACAATTACAAGGGAGACCCAAAAATCAGGGCCTTGTGTGAGTATGATGCCTTCAGGCGACGGAAGGCAAGCTGCGGACAGGCAATCCTCCAGGGACCTGGAGCAGTCAGGGCATACTCACACAAGGTCCTCAAAATCACAGAATCACAGAAATCATCGGCCAGATCGAGTCCCTGTGAAAGGAGGACTCGATCTGGCCGCTCATTTTGCGATTCTGCCATTTTGAGGGCCTAGTGTGAGCATATACTATATATATACTCTTAATGCTGGTCAGGGGGTTTTCGGCCAAACGGAAGGAAGTGTGAGCATGTTCTTTCTGTAATCTTGACTTGCCGGTGGAATAGGAAGTGGACTGATTACGCTCCTCAGAATGAATATGGAGCCAGGCCCATAAGGACATATTCCCTCCCCTCCCCCCTTTTTTTTAAAAGGAAATCAGCTGCACCTGTGTCGCAGAGCTTCCGCTGCACCGAAATTTCTCAGCAGCTATGGATGCTTGACATGGTCGTCCCGGCACGTACGTTGAAGTTGGTTGATTCAATTTCATGGTTAGGAAAAAAAAAAAAAGAAGGGCTGGATGGTTGGCTTGGGATGACAGCGTTGTCTGTTGTTGTTGCTTTACTTTATTGCCCCTGCCTTATGGTCACCTCCCCCCCTCCCTCCCTCCCTCCCCCCCCCCAAAAAAAAAAAGAATCACCGGTTCCGTCATAAGTGCTTTTGTCATGACATAAGCTATGCGGTCATCGTACATATTGTCATCGTGAAAATGGTGCCCATGGTTTTTTTTGTCCAAGCTCTTTTCTTTGAAAGTTTGTTGACTTCATTTGGATTTTTGGGAAGTGGAGTTCGTTACTGACTCGTCTTTGCTTTGGTTTTTCATTAAAAAAAAGGGGGGCGGTCTTGGGATATTGTCGGACTGACAGGACCCGGGTAATTCAGATTAACAAGTTCATTTTGGTGGATTCAAACTGAGGTCTGCATTTCTATAGTTAATGGGCGTACGTAGCTACTGAGCTACGTACATCAACTGGCGGCGACGGACTCTGTTTTTTTGCAACTTGATCCCTATTTTAGTATTTTCGTAGGAGTGAAATTAATCGTGGATTTTCTTTTTCGCAGTTCCTTTTCACAGTTTGTTTTTACAGGAGCTCCTTTTTTTCATAGTCTTCTTTTCATAAACAAGTCAACATTTCAAATCCTTGATGTTTTTTTTTCACAAATCGTAAATGTTTGGGGACACCCTTTTACAAGGAAAAGTCTGAAAAGGAATATGGGTCGATGTGAATTTGTCTTGCGGGGAACATTCTCATGGACCAGATTGTTTGTTTTTTTTTTTATAAAGTAATTTGGACCATTTCTCAGTTTATGTGTGTCATCCTTGATTGACAATGCAGGGGGCATGTTTTAATCAACCTTCTGTGTATTGTTCCAATTTGCATGGATGGTGCGGATGGGACAGCACGGGAGTGATTTTTTATTTGATTAATGGGCTGAATGTGCAATTGCGTATTGTCGTCCAGAGAACACGCACCTTCCATCATTTTCATGGACGAGATTGATTCGATTGGCTCGGCGCGTATGGAGGCGGGCAATGGGAATGGCGACTCCGAGGTGCAGCGGACGATGCTGGAGCTTCTGAACCAGCTTGATGGGTTTGAGGGAACAAATAAGATCAAGGTAGGTAGTAGGTGATTGCGTTTTTTTTTGTTTTTTTGTTTTAAACCAGTGTCCTTGCTAGGAGAGGTGGTACGAGCACTCCCTCCTAGCAAGAGTCGTGGGTGCTCTGGTCTGTTGGTGGGCAGCAGCACCTGTTTGGTTGGGAAAAAAAGCTGCTCGGATGATTACCATCGTCCCCAGAATAGAATGCACAACCATTACAGCTGTGTATTGGAGTCGCTTTTCAGTCTAAATACAGGGAACGGTGCTGTAGCTTCTGAACCAGCTTGATTGGATTTTAGGGAACCAAACAAATAAGATCAAGGTAGGTAGGTAGGTGGTGGATGTGGTTGGTTGTTGGAAAAGGCTGATGATGATCACCGTCTTCCCCCGAATAGAATAGAATAGAATAGAATGTACAGCCTTTACAACTGTATTTGAGTCGCTTTTCAGTCTAAATACAGGGATAAAATGACCGTATGTTCTATTAGGAGGAAGGAGGAAGACGGTGACGGTGGTAATACGGATGGCCCACACCAGGAATTAATGACCGCTGTAGCCTGCACTGTATTTGTGTGGTAGGGGCAAAAAAAAGGAAGAGGGCCATAGAAAAATTAAAAACTCATCAAAAATGAATTGTTGGCGTAAGCTGTACCAGATTGTTATAAGGGTAAAATACGAAAAATGGAAAGGGTAACGTATATGATCTCAGTTTGCAACCAGGGCCTGGTCGCATTTGTGCGATGTGTTTGTGCTAAGAAAGCACGAACCTGGTTGTTTTTCCGACCAGGTTCGTGGCTTTGAAGCATGAATCTGACACCGGCAGAGTTTACCCCTAGAACCACGTTGCCGGTATGCTCTTTCTACTCTGTTCTGAAAATGGCATGTCGCCCGTGAACGGCATCGATCGCGGGTAACTGGTGTATCGTGTGGTGGTGATTAAGTAGGAGGGACTCTGTTTGCGGGTTCAGCTTTACTGCTTTGACGACGGGAAAAGTTTGCTTTGTGACAGTCCATGTTCTGTTCCAAACTAATTACTTGACCAGTCCCTTCTCTTGACTCAGGCCATCACCACTCTGTCTTCCTCCCTTTTCTTTGCATCAATGCGTAGTAGAGGCGTGGAGCACAAGATGACGGTGAGATGGTGGGCAGCTATTACGAGTGCAAACAAGGTTTTGGCTGCTGGCAACGTGTTGCTGCTCAGCGATAGTAAGGCAATGGTAAAGAAGGGAGGAGGGCAAGCAGAGAAGGCGGCCAAGAAAGGTGGAAGGGTTTTGCAGGGGCATGGAATCGATGCCAGTTTTTCATTCCGATTCACATCAATGCTATGGAACAGGTGTGTGTATGTGTGTGTGTGTGACACACACGCACGCACGCACACACACACACACACACACACACACACACACACACACACACACACACACACAGAGAGAGAGAGAGA